CTGCTTGGATGGAATGCATCAATAAAGTAAAGTGTTTTGGCACATTATTTGTGTTATAGGTTTTCTTGTACTTGAAAGGATATTTATAATGCCACAAAACAAAATGGGGTGGGCAGAACATAGTCAAAGCAAACACATTACACTCTATCTTGACATGCATTTGAAAGGTTTTTTGAAAGAGGTCGCTTACCTTCAAGTACTCATCTTTTAGGCCACGAAACATTTTTGAAGGGTCTGGAAAATGAAAAAAAAAGTAACAAAGAGAGTGCCTTAGCGCCAGGATCGTGACACGGATGACAAAAGTGCCAAATTTGGTACAGATATTGGTATGGGCATACAATTTTGAAAAATCTTTGGAGCCAAAAAAAAAAATCTTATTTTTGGGGTAAAAAGTCACATTTTTGGGAAAAAATATGGTTTTCAATATCTTGGTATTTTTTAACTATTGTAGTGCAAGACCTACCTGTACAAATAGGTTTAAAATCAATATGATCATTATGTAGTCAGAAATAAGCAAATAAAGGTTAAAAAATATAAAGAAAATAAAATATTTTTTTGACGAAACAATCTAGATTTTAACCTTGTGTATTCTAATAATTGGATTACTTGGATGACAAAAGTGTCAAATTTGGTACAGATATTATTATTATTATTATTATTATTACCATAAAATGTTGAAAAATCTCTGGAGCCAAACAAAAATTGAATTTTTGGGAAAAAATATGGTTTTTAATATTTTGGTATTTTTGACTATTGAGGCGCTGACAAGGCGAGCGTCATAACCACTAGACCACGAAGGCTTCATGGTTGAACAGGTCCAAATAACCATCGGGAACATTGTATTACACAATGGTGTGCCTCAAGAGGGCGTTCGGCCAGATACCATTGTGTAATACAATGTTCCTGACGGTTATTTGGGCCTGTTCAACCATGAAACCTTCGTGGTCTAGTGGTTATGACGCTCGCCTTGTCAGCGCCTCAAGAGGGCATATTCTGATACTGTTACTGATCAGTGATGTATAATATATAACATACATAGTATATCAGGATATAGTTTAAATCTCAACAAAACTCTATATTTTTTTACCAAAAATAAGTTTTTTATAACCAAAAATATTGCCAAAATTGGGATTTTTAAAAACCTTTACGTAAGATTCTGATATGTTATTGACTAGTAAGGTAATATATTGGTTAAAATGAATTTTTTACATACCAAGAACTGCAATTATAATTTTATATGTAGACAAATCTCAATTTTTTCCAATGCCTTTATAAGATTCTGATATACTATTGACCATCGAGGTATAATACTGTATTGGTTAAAATGTATTTTTACATACAGAGCATATCAGTATAAATGTCAAAAAAACTATTTTGTACCAAAAACTTTGTTTAAACTTAAAAATAGGAACAATTGGGATTCTTTAAAACTTTTATTTCAGTTTCTGACACATTACTGATCAGTGAGGTATGATATCGGTTAAAATATATTTTTACATGCAGTGAATATTAGTTATAATTTAAATGTCAACAAATCTATATTTTTTAACAAAAAAAAAATAATTTTTTTAGCCTAAATATTACCAAAAATTGAGGGTTTTTTTTAAACCCTTATGTCAGGATTCTGACATGTTATCGACCAGTGAGGTATACTTTTGATTAGAATATATTTTTACATGCAAAGCATATCAGGTATAGTTTAAATGTAAAAAAAAATCCTTTTTTTCCCCAAAAAATAATGTTTTTAGCCCAAAAAAGTGTAAAAAAATTGATTTTTTTTTTTGGTTTCAGAGATTTTCCTGAAAAGCATGTTGATAAAACTATTTCATTCTTATATGCTTATTGTGTAAAAAGAATGACTATATAGATTCTAAGCCTGTTTGTATATAAGTAGATCTTGTACTATAATAGTCAAAAATACTAAAATATTAAAAACCATTTTTCCCCAAAAATTCAAGTTTTACACAAAAAATTTACACAATTTTTTACCCCCCAAATTTTTTTTTTTTTGGCTACAGAGATTTTTCGAAATTTTATGCCCATACTAATATCTGTACCAAATTTTGTCATCCAGGTAATCCAATTATTAGCCTATGAACAAGGTTAAAATCTAGAATAATACAAAAGCGACTTTTTCGTTCAAAAAATCTTTTATTTTTTAAAAATATTTTTTCATCTTTATTAGCTTATTTGTGACTAAATAATGATAATATTGATTCTAAACTTATTTGTAAAGGTAGGGCTTGCACTATAGCAGTCAAAAATACCAAAATATTGAAAACTGTAATTTTGCCCAAAAAAGAGATTTTTTACCCCAAAAATAAGATTTAATTTTTGGCTCCAGAGATTTTCTTGAAAAGCATGTTGATAAAAGTATCTCCACCAAAAATTAAAGTTTTGTCATCCGTGTCACGATTCTTCCATATTTTGACGTTAAGGCACTCTACTACATGGAGAATATAGTTTTTAATAAAACTGCTTTCATTGTTACAGCGATTGCCTCACTTGCACACGCTGCTAAAGTGCCATATGATGTGTGCTATTTGAGTTATAAGCGGTTTTTGTGTCTATGACTCCTCGGGAGCTAGACACTATGTTATCGTCTAGTATTAACCCTGTAAGATCGAGTAAATTCGGTATAGAGGAATGATGGGATGAGTCATGAGCTAAGATAAAAATAAATATAAGACCTGTCCTAGAAAGATCACTACAGTAAACAACAGTACACATTTCTTGATAACCGAATGCGCATGTTGATACTTACTAAATATTACTAAACATAATACATGTATAGTAAGATAGTCTTTCAAAGTTGCGGAGAACAGTGTGCGCGTAAAAGTTTTAGGAAGAAGGAGGAAGCTATGACGTGTGCGGCTGAACCGTGTTTGGTTGAATCATCATGGTAGAAAAAAAAAACAATCAACAATTGTCGGGGGTGGGGGTGGGGGGCCGAAAAACAAATGTACGGTATTATTTATTTAATAAAATAATATTTAATTCATATTAAATGAAATTTTATCACTGAGAGAACAGATAATGATGTCAAAATATTTTATATACATGGAGGCTTCATGATCAAAATTTCAGGATTTGGTATGTTGGTCCCTGGTGCGGCTAAGCCGCTGGGCAGCGACTTGGTGTCTAGAATCATAAATAGTCCGTGAAGTAAAAAGTTTGCGGAAATCTGTTTTATGCTGTTGTAGATGATGCTTTCAATTCATTTCTTCTCTCAAGTCTAAGCTTAATCCACCACCTCTTTTCTTTTTTCTTTTCTTCCCTCTCTCTCCCTCTTCCTCTTTAACATAATCCCAGCAATTAGACGTGCAGCACCAACCTTCTGCTCCATCTTCTTTCTACTATTTGATCAACTTTGATGTAAAAACTTTGATAGTATGACTCTTAAAATTAGGAAACACCTTTTGACCAATAAGCAAACACTAAAAGTCACACCAACCAATCAGATTTGATTATTACATTTCATCAAAATACATCACATTATTTGATAGAGTTTGATGTACTTTGATGATATTGTTCCATTACATTTTATGTGATGCTTTTTTGATGAAGTTTGATAGTGTTGACAAAGCTTTACAGTGACTGAAGTATGAAGAAAAAACTTACTTTCTAAACAAGGCCACTTTTTCTTCTCTTTTAGTTTGTAATTGTTAAAGAAAACAAAGGGAATGAAGGTACCTGCGTAGGTGTCTCTAAACACCCAGTACGCGACTTTAGCCATCGGAACACGGGTGACATGTGGTTGTACAGAGCATACAGCGGTAATCTGTACCACAATGGCGAACACTCGATCACGTTCCCCGGATTTACACAAGGAGACAGCATCACCTGTGTACTGGATATGGAAGCAAGGACAGTGTCATTTGGCAAGAATGGAGAGGTAGAGTATTGCAGTGCTTGTTGCTATTTATATACTGCTATTTGTGACTGCATTAGTATAATCAGAACCCAGCGTGCAAGTAATATAATACACTATTAAAGCTTTTTGTGACATATGACATGTTCCCATGAAACCTCAGTGTACACACAAAGTTTGCACTTGTTACACATGCCAGTACACAATGAACAGTTGTACTTAAGTGCACTTAACAAGTTTAAACATTGGGCAGATCCTGGCGCCATCACTGTGTAAGGCAACTTGAGATGAATTTCACTTTTTCGTTTTTATTAACAGGATCCCAGATTAGCATTCGAGGACATAGATGCAAATGAGTTGTATCCAGTTGTGGTATTTTACAGCACAAACCCAGGAGAAAAAGTTAAAATTTGTGATATGCAGGTTCGAGGAGCTCCACGAGATTTATGTGCAGGAGACCCGTTCTGCGCACCAAGTGCATGTGCAATGGCTGAGGCTAATATTTCTCTAATCCGGTCACTACAGCGAAACAGTAACTGGTCTAAATCTGTTAACGCTAAGATTATTGAAAGAATGCAAAACTTGGGCCAACTCTACGCTTCAAGTAAAGATAAAACGATTGAAAAGGATAAAAAACAGGATAGACAAGTGGAAGAACAAGAATTACAGGAGATCCAGAATTCTGATAAGAAAAAGTGTGAGAAAATTAGGCAAGGTGAAGATGATTTAGTAAAGGATGTTGATGATGAAAACAAAAAACAAAACCCAGTCAAAGGTATGCATGCTCAGTGGGTTAAACTGGTGGTAGCCACTATGTGTGCACGGAACCATGAAGATCCTTTGGTCCCTGGTACAATTCAATTCATTTTCATTCATCATATATCATTCAGTATGTTCATTTATCAAATTATAAACATGATCAGAACATTCAAGATAAATGGAAATGTAACCGACAAAAAAACAAATGTATGAAAAACTAATCTATTGACTATGTTTATTTCATAAATCTCCATTCAATTTATGCATTAATAAAATATATCGCAACAAACGTTAAAGAGAAACTTGTCTCAAACCAAGTCGAATTTATAACATTTTCGTTGGTTCTGTAAAAAAAGAAAAATAACACCAAGTGATACACGTTAATATAGATAAACTATAATATCATAGTACAGTAATACAAATAATGTTAGTCAACTAATGTTTTATGTAAGTTTTGTGTTTATAAAAATACTATACTGCTTAGCTCCCTTTTTCCAGATTTGCGGTCGCACTGTCGGCGCGCCATACAACGCGACCGAAATGCATAACGAAAATAGCGCGACCAAAATGAAGGCGCGGCCGAAATTATCGGATACCAAAAATTCTACTCTTAGATGATAACCTTACTTGTTTAAAAACCAGACTTTAAGGGAACCTAGTATGAAACAAACTCCAAGTAAAGTGCAAGACCAATATGATTCAATAACATGAAGCGCCACTGATAATTACTTCGGTTTTTTGAATGGCGCTATATAAGTTCTTACCTTATTATTATTATTATTATTAATGTTTTAACATTTAATTAATATCTGTGTAGATTTCAATTCTCTTTGCTGTACTGTTTGGCCTGTATTAGCTGTAATTGGTGGAGTGGACCAAGGTCTTAGAATGGGAGGACGATGTATTCACAAGCAAACATCAAGGGAAGCCACTCTGCTAGGTGTTCTGAAAGAAGGTGGAACATCAGCAAAGGTACAGTGGGAAGACACGGAAGCAACAGTAAGGTAATGGGTTAATTTGATGTACTTAATTTATCACGATTACTAATTACCACTAACACATGGGACTTTGCACTCCTGCACTACATAGGACTAGGTGTGACAAGTTTCAACCAAGAAAATGTTTAAACACTGTTATTAGCATCCCCGAAGCTATCGAATTTACCCATGTTCTTCATGGTGTCGTTGTCATTGTTAGGCAAATTGTTGTTACCATAATAACTAAAGTTTGGTAAAGCCAATTGGTTTCAAACTTGGCAGAATGCAAGATGTTTATAAGAGGACGGAGTCTGTTGTTTTTGGTAGGTCCATTTTACACTAATAAATTCCTAATGCAGCTGGGGCAGATGGAGGACTTGGCGGTAGGGGGTGCACCTGAGAGTCGACACCACCTCAGCCCCATCATGGTTGGGGCTGAGGTGCGAACATTTTGAGAATATGGATCTCTAGGTCGACGGAAATTTTACTTGAATACCTAAAAAATTATCTTGATTTATATATATATATATATATATATATATATATATATATAAAATTGTATATATATATAAAATCGTCTTCATATAACACCACAAAATGAAGTGTGCAAAAAATAGATATGAAAAAAAAAAATAAAATAATAGTATATACTCTATATATACTGTACTTGTATAATAATTACTTATTAGATAAATAAATATAATGTGTGGTAAAGGGAAAAAAAAGGCAAGTGAAAAATGGCATCGAAAGCAGCCCACCTCACCTTACCTGTAATTATTATTATCAACATAGGCAGTTCACACACTGCTGCGAGAGGGCCAGGCTTGCATGATATGACGCACAATGCAAAATATGCTCGCTTCTCGTTCTTCCTCTATATTCTTTGACTGGTTTGTAGGCCTAAATTCTGGGCAGAGGAAGTATTCCTCATGCAGGTCTTTCCTGTCAGTTGTTGCCTATAGGCTAGGCCTTGCCTGACTGGAGGGCTATAGCCTAGGCCTAGCTAGCTACAGGCTTGGTAAGTAGTAGGTATAGCCAGGGACAGATTAAGGGGTGTGGTGGGGAGGGGGTTGCGCATGGAACGTGCTTCCCCTTTTATATCACCAATTTTTTTTTACTCAATTCCAAAAGAAACGTTGGTTGATTGATTGATTGATTAATTGATGCCGTGTGTACGTCAGGTCGCTCAATGGATAGCCTACAAAGACAGTTTACACGTATTGGCATGTAAAAACTTTTGTGCAATCAATCACTGTCTATCGAGATCAGCCAGTATGTGCTGTCAGGCCACCATGCTGGATACAGTAACTACCGTATATGTCATATCTTCATTGACGACACCTGTTGAGTAGACTTGCACTTTCAATAAAGTACAGTTTTTGTGCAGACAACACCCCAAAAATATTTTTCCCTCACCGAGTAGGGCCCTCACCCAGTTGGACCCCACCCAGCCAGCCCTCAAAATTAGGAAAAGTATGTCGGTAAAAAAAGGAAATCGCCGGCATTTTAAATTTGACGCTGGTTAAATATGTTGGCAGTTTCAGCTAAAAGCCCTGAAATCAACCCATGCTGACCTGTTATACCAGTGATGGATGTCTTTTCAGGTCACCCAATGAAGCTGAAAAGCCTAGCCTCTACTAGCCTACATACTGATGTTCACATTCACAACTAATTATTGATAACATTTTGAACAATGTTTATGTTATTGTCATGAATTCTTACTTGACGTATTTCCCAGCGGTAAAGAAATGACTAGGAATCCCTCTTTGACATACAAAAATACAAACACAGCTCACAATGTTGTAACACAACTCTCAAATAAACTTTTATTCTGTATAAACTCCAACAAGAATCCGGTATCAAAATAACACAACAAATATTCACATAAACATGTGTTTGAAGAAGAGCTCTTTTTAAGGTCTCACCTTATATACATTAGCTCTAGAACTCCAGAGCATTCAAGAGCCTTCTATGTTGCCTAAGTCCCTCATTGGTCACAGTACATCATAATTGACCAATAGGCTTATTGCCTCTACATTACCAAAGATTCCAGAACCTTCCAAATATTACTTTTGGATTCTACATGGTGTCATGTGTTCCTATACATAGCAATGTGGTTTACACTGTTTGTTTGATCACATAAATGTACTTCTAGAATGTTCTATGTAATAAATATGTTACAGTGAGGAAAGAAATGGTAATTTATTACAGTTATGATGATGAATAAAATGAAACTACAAAAAAAAAAAATTACAGTGGGATCTCCGAATTCCGAATGCCCAGAAAACCAAACTTTTTTTTCAAGTCCCAAAACCATTCTTCCTTTAATAAAATACTTTTTATTTAAATCTCCCTCTTCCGAATTTCGGACTTTTTATTCGGTCTAGAACATAAAATCAACTTCTAAAAACCGAACAAACAGTTAATAAACAACAATTTTTAGACGAAATAACGCAATAATCATCGTTGTCTGGTAATTAACAAACTAGGCCCAGCACAACCCTTTGAATGAACCGTCGTGTCAGCTAGCTCAGTTCCAATATCGTTGCCATAGAGATTATCTATTGATTTAAACCACACACCAGTAGGCCTAGACGTTAATGTTAGATAAAGTGAAAGTTACACCTTCTATTTTTTATAAAGTACATTATTGCCTTAGGCCTAATCCTTAAAAATCGATTACAATCGACCTGAAATGAAACAGAACTTCATTTCTACAATGGCTGACACTTTTTTAGTAGACGTTGGATGTCGTAGATTCATAAATGCATAGCTTCAATCATTCTTAAAAAACATGGAAATTTTTAGAGAATGAAATTTACATTTTTAAGATTTGTTTAGATTTGACTGTAAAACAAATCTACGAGGGTTTCTTATTTGTTTTAATAAATCTGTTTAAAAATTAATCAATTTACACTGAGCTTGTTCCTGTCTGCAAGCTTTCACGCACGATGAAACTTTGGGCAATCTGACGTCATCACAGCCAAGCACATGTTTGCCCATCCATGACCCCATGAAAAAAAAAAAACCAATTAGCGGACAGAGTTTAGGAGGCACGACCTAATGTTTACACCAAGAATGTGTTGTGTTTAGAAAAAAAATGTCAAACCGAAAATTCACATTTCACTCATAATACAACATAAAGAAATTAAGTAACTTTCTTTCATTAAGAATAAAGTTTAATATTGTGTTCACTGTGATCCCGCCAAGTCTACCACCACTGGTACCAGTGCCAGCCTAGGCCTGAATTAGCTTGGGCTAGCCTAGGCCTAAATTTTTCACCTCGGCGATTATTTTGTTGGCTTTGGGCGGCTAAAAGACGCCGTTTAAGCTGGCTTTGCCGAATGCCGGTGTTAATTTTGAGGGCTGTCCGCGGTCCTAACTCAGTCTCTCTCCCTCCCCAAATCACACTCAAATAGTTATAAATCACCTTATTTTGTGAGCTAATTTCCCCTTACCTAACTACTGGTCAGTGGGTGAAGGGGGAAGACTGGGGACATTACCCTCACCCTTCCCAAGCCTCATCCTAAACACGAATTTAAAATGCCTATATATTTTCAGAATTCAAAGGTTTAAAAATTTTGTACTGTGTAAAAATTGCACCGCTGGGAGGCTATGCTTTTTCTGTGTAGCGTAAAAGGAGTAATTCTAGTTTCCACTTGATGTCAGATAATTATTATGCTTAAATATTTATATTTTTTCACAGTGATACTGCTATATCTGGGTTAGAACCTGTCGAGTCTGTCGCGTTTGATGCATCTACATTGAATGGTCTTAATGCTGACATCATGTCAAACCTCTTATTATTGTGTGGAGTAGATGACGAGCATATTAGGATTGAGAAGAAACATTCGCAAGCACAAGCAAAAGTAGCAAAGCAGCGAGCAAAGAAACAGAAAGAACAAGATGAGATAGAAAAAAAATTAGATAGTGACATAGCATCAGCTTTAGAGTTCGAAAACAACAAAGTTAATCCAGAATGCCAAAGACTCTCAGGCAATAATCTAGATGCACAATCATCCCATAATTCCTCTGACTCTTTTGTAGCGATGCTCTCAGATGGATCAGATACTTCAAGATTTGCAACTGGCACTGATTTTGATTCGGGTGCAACATCCTCGGTTAAAGAACTACAGGGCTTATCATTTGCAAAATCATTAGCCTTGTGCAGTGAGTCAGATCATAACATTGCAGAAGTAGTTAGTGCATATGAGAGAACTGAAGCTATCGGTACATCGGCTTTAGAAAGCCATGAAGTTGCGCATGGTGTTACTAGCCAAGTTGCAGAGGCTGTATTTCACAATATAAAGACAGAACTACTAAATACAAGATCAGTGAATGAGGAAAAACAGGTTCTCAATAAAGAAGATGAAGACTTAAAATATTCATCATCTAGGAAAGAAAGAGTATGTGCTGATATTCCAAGAGTGTCATCTGAAGAAAGCGTGAAGGAAAGAATGAATAAAAAAGTATCCAGATTGACAAGTTCTGATTTGAATGAACGTACAGGACAAGCTGAAAATGAAATGTTAGCAATTAAAAAAACATTTATTCAGGTTGCTGCATTGAAAAGTTTAAGCGTCATCATAGGATCGGGCAAATTTGCAGAGGTTTTATTGATGCCAAAGTCACATGAAAAAGAAGAAAAAAAAAGTGACATGTCAAAATCCGATGGAGGAAAGGCCTCCAAGAAACAAGGGGATGAATCAGTGGGAGATATGCAAGAGACATTACGATACATTATGCGACACTTGGTGAAGAGAGCTGTCATGCCATCACCCATTAAAAGGATTGTCAGCTTAGCTGAACTGGAGCGAGCGCACTCTGTTTTATTAAAGATGACTGCTGAGGGCCCATATTTACAAACAGATGATGGAGAATCAAAATTAGGTAAGACACTTACTGAAATGAAATACATTTTATTAGTAAATAGCATTGATAGTTGCCTTCTACAAAACATTAATACATACAATCCATTTATCAATTTAAGTTATACAATAGGACAGTCAATGTAAAACTATAACTACAGTATACAGTATCCTTTTGGCAATAAGTACACCTCAAATATAAGCACACCCCCTAACTTTTGAGTAAATCTCTACCCTGTAATAAACCCATCCCCAAAAAATTTAGAACCAAGTGTGAAATATATGGTATTCATATTTATTACGAAAATACTACCTAGGTTCTGAGTTACCTAGGCTTGCCATGGGCATTCTTTGTAAGGCTGAGGCCCTATACTGGAATCTGCATGGTCTAGGCTACAGCTATTAGGCCTAGCTTATGCCTACAATTTCATTATTGGTTGCATGGTGAAATTTGGGTAATGATAGATGATGAAGTATATATTGTATTGTTTTTTTTTGCAGTTGGTAATGATGTATGCAGAAGCAGCTCAAGTGATTATATCAAGGAGGCCAAAAGCAGTCCTAGCCAAGCAACACAGGCAGAGGGCCCTGCATCAGTCAGCACCTCAAAGCTTGCTACTTCATCTACTGGGCCTATGAGATATGTTAGACGCCTCTCTAGGAATATCGCATCAGCCTCCTTAAGCTCATTACTGAGAAGATCCAATCGACCTCAGGCCACACCCCCAGGTTCACCACCAGTGTCCCCTCTGGAATTAGATGCAGGTATATTTTTTTAATTGTTTTTTTTTTTCCTCTCACAGCTGTATGAATAAATGATACTTGACTTGGAATACTTAATTAAGTGGTAGGAGGTTTGTCCCGAGGTGGTTTTGATTTTCATACCAATGTTCTAAACACTTAATAGTGTGGCTGTGAACCATATCAGAGTCTATTTTATGAATACTTACTTTTATGATAGAAACTATAAAATATCAATTAACAGAATACAATTATACAACATATTTTATAATATAATAATAAATATAAATTTAAAGAGTTGGTTGCAATAATGTTTTACTGTCACAATTAAAGAGTAAAACTCTTTAACATTTTCCAGCCCCTCTACTAAGCTCATTAAGGGAACCACCCACTCCTGGAGTAAGTAGTGCAAGTAGAAAGTCACTACCAATGGACTCTCCACCAACTATCAGTCGATCTCTGCTTGATATGGGCTTTACAATGAACCACATTCAACAGGCTTTACTAGCAACAGGTATGTAATTATTTTGTTATCATTTGAACATTGGCGATCCTAATTGGCATGGATTGAATGACCAGTTAGATTATAATCTAGTGATCTGTTTGTTGTGACAGTAATAAAATGTAATGATAATAGTAATAAGGTTTTGATATACTGTAGTACTCTACAATAACTATATCTCAGAGCACTTTTATTAAGCAGTCAATGAAATGGGGCCTTTGGGGTAAATTATATAGTTGGTGCACAAAATCTCTCAAAATTATGTAGAATAATCCCTCAAAGAACCTGCAGTAACAAGGATCCCAAGCTGGAAGAAGACACTTCCAGGAGACTTGTTTAAATGCGCTTTCTTAACACATCTAATTTTAATTTGCTGTGCATACCCATCACTACAGACTTCTAGGAGACAATTAAAATACAGTAGTAAAACTATTCAAATATCGTTAATTTACTATTCAAATATCGTTAATTTTCCGGAAGATTCTACTTGATTCGTGGAGTGCGGGAGACCTTATTGATTTCATGTAGACTTGTGTGTGTTTGCAGGAAACCATGGACCCCTGCAGTAATACGAATTAAAGTTGAAAGAAATCAGTTGAAACTAGCGCTGTCTCCTGATCATTATTTTTTTAACAGTAGTAGTGCAGCTACCATCCCATAGGAGTGTTCTATGATGTCTCTAATTTTATTATTGATTTTTTTTATAGGTTCTTCACGTGATGGAGATATTCAACGCATTAATGTTCTTGTATCGTGGATGGTGGAGCATCCTTACACTGAGGAAGATGAGGATGGTGAGGAGGGTGGAGCAGAAGCTACTCCTCCTCCTCCTTCTCTAGCTGCCAGTCTTCAGTCAGCAACCTCTGACCCTTTACCCATTGCTCCTATTGCAGAACGTGAAAGTTCAGCTATCGGATGGGAAGAGTCAGTATATATTCCTCCAATTACATTAAGATTTTAAACATTACATTAAGATTTTAAACAGTTATTTAAAGTCTTGTGGGTGAAGGAATACACAATGCAAAAATAATAGAGGTGAAAGAAAACATAAGAGCAATATTAAACAAACATTGTAAAAGTATAGTAGAAATGAAAGTTACACAACAATAATATGTGTGTTTTGGGTGAATAAAAATACATTAGAACCCCTTCTTTGCGACACCCCTATTCAGGGAACACCCCTATTAAGGGGGACACTTTTCCATGAAACGAGGGGCAATATATTTTTTAACCCTACGGCCAACCCCTATTAAGGAGACACCCATATTAAGGGGACGGGGACAATTTTTGAGTGTACCAAATTGTCAAATTACCCCTATTAAGGGGACACTTAATTTTTTTCATTGTATCGCAACAACTACAGCAGTCTCAAAATATGACAAATTCATTCAACTTTATATTTTGACACATTTTAAACAATAGACCAGAATTTTCTCCCCTGAATCCTTGGAGTTAATATCGGTATAGGTTTACTGCATGTGTTACTTCATGCCAATCTTGTCAATTTTGACCCTTAACCATGGGGATTTCTTTTTCTTCGTTTTTCGTGTACTTTCATATAGATTCTAATCCATACCATAACTTGCACCCTTAATTCCAAGTCGTTACTCTATTCATGCTACATTCATCTAATAGAAAGCACAATATTTTTTTGAAATAGTAAAGAATATTTGGTCATTAACATTGCATCATGAATTGGGAACATATTTTAATTACATTATTTCTGCTGATTTCATATAAATGAATTGTATTTGTAGTAATAGTAAAATTTCATTTTGGCCTATCTGTTTTTTTATAATGGTCATCAGATACCTTATTTACAATTGACATAAATTACACAGTACGGTACATAATACGCAAACAGTATGCAAACGTCAACAATTTAGTCAAATAAAAGTAATCTATAGCAACAATGGTAAAATAAATTATGGAAATGAAGAAAATCCACTCCACAAAAGTATTTGAAAAAGAAATGTAAAATATTAATAAAACAAAGCAAGAAAACATTAAATTAGTGATATACAATGTTTATACTATTACTATATACTTTGTTTTCATTAATTATTAATACAAATGTGGTTCTTGAAAATACTTAAATTGATAGAAGACTGTACATCAGGGCTTAATCTATTGCATTCAATAGCACTATCATATGAAATGCTTTAAAAAAAGAAAAAATTAATCTCATTCATTCAGTTTTCCTTGATTCCCGTCCAAAGGACGGGTACACAGCTAGTATGTATGTATGTATATATATATATATATATATAATATGTATATGGGTGTATATATGTATGTATGTTTGTATATATGTATGTTTGTGTATATATATATATATATGTGTATATATGTTTATATGTGTATGTATATGTGTATACACACATATACATATATATATACATTTATATATATTTATATACATGTATATATATATACATATATACATGAGGCAAATTAACCACCTCGTCTGTTTTTTATTGAATATATACATATATATACATATGTATATACATATATATATACATATGTATATATATATATATACATATACATATATACATACATCAAGATCTGACGTCAGCCAAGAAGTTATTTAGACTTTCTCAATCAAAGCTGCATGTTAAAGTAACAAAGACAAATGATATACGTAATTATAATGTGCCTTTGGAAAAATATATTTCTTCATTAGAGGACCACAATGAAATACTTCTATGCAACAAATTCCATTCACTCACCAAACTGTCTACTTAAATCATAAACCGCTACATATATATCCATAATTACAGTACAAAATATTTCAAAAACATATGTACACAACAACCCCTACAACAACCATATTTCCTTTAATATCACTGTACACAACATCACACCTTTCCTAACTGTTATGTGAACATAACAACTACTATAACTTTAAACGTTTTTTTTTTATGCTCAATACATGTAACAACACTCCACACAACCTCCTCCCACCGACAGCACTTAAACATTGCCAGCTATTGTCAAGTGGGCTATTGCATCATTGATGCTCTCGTTTAGATAAGTAAGTAGTGATTATTTCAATACATAACATTGATATGTCTTGTGCCCCTACTGGATCTGCCCCTAATTGATGTATATTTTTTACAGGAGTGAACGTGAAGACTTTTACTCCTGTACCCATGAGGCTACGCGATCTAGCCATATCCCTTTTCTCGATAACGCTCATTCTTTAAGAGAAATTATGATGAGGAGAGGGAGACGTATTGGTGAGTTGATGGACAATTTTGATAAGTTTAGCTTTTTGCAGCAGCATGAAGGACTAGTGATGGAGATATTTAATGATTTTTCTTTGAAATTAGGAATATATATATATATATATTCAGGAATATATTTCAATTTTTTTGGCTAGTTATTGTTATTGCTGTTGTTTATGTTATTATTTTTTGTAATATTAATATTCTTATTGTGTTTATTATTAATGTTAGTACAGTAGTTATTATTAGTATTATTAATAGAGTTATTATTTGCATTATTATTATTGTTGATATTATTAATTGCAGTATAATTGATATTGCTATTTTTTTATCAGGGAACAATAGACCTAATTTTATGTAGTATTTTTATTTTTTAAAACCTAATCAGGTAGATCTTAAAACCTATTTTTCATATGGTCATGTTAAACTTTAAAATTACCAAATTTAAACCAAAAAATACTTATTGTAGCAACCTTCTTATAAAGATAGTGAGACAAGTTATAATAAGTTATTGGAAACTTACTGTAAGAGAAATTAATGCAGTCAAATTGTAAAAATAATCCAGTTACATTTTTCGGAATTACAAACATGAATGAAAGGTGGATAAAAACATTTCTTGTTCATTTTTGTCAACAGAAGCCAGGAATCTGGAGTCAAGCCTGCAGGAGCAGGTGTTAGATGGGTTTCATCAGGATATGATGTTTGAGGACGAAGACATGGAGCTTGACGAGGATATAATGCAAGACTTGTACTCTGCTGAAGTGTCAACACTAGATCAGGCATTAGATCGAGCTCGTGGCCTTTGGCACCCGGAGGTAGGGGCATTAATTTGGACAAAAAAAGGGGAAAAGAGTCAAAAGTTGTCTACCACGTTTGCGTCTCATGTTGTATTTAAAGTCATAATGATCATAACCTAAAATAAGTCCAAAAAATTACGCTTAGTGTAAAAACAATTAATAGAAATACTAGAAATTTGCATTCAGAACACACTAGTACTCACTCTGTGAAATTTAGTGATCCGAGATGTTACATCTTGCTGACCACAAGAAGGTTGGATTATCAACTGAAATTTCAGGAGTGAGTACTTAGTATTGTAAATGCTACTAGAATATTACTGTGCCACCAATGATGAATTTTTACAGGAAAAATAGAAATAAATACTTTGAATATGTGGTCGCCTCAGTCTTCGTAAGCCCCAAGGCCAAAGTAAATATTCTATTTGAATTTTATTAGGTATTACTTTTTCTTGGAACATCCTAATGGGGTGATTTTTCCTCTTTCAGTTGAGTAATGATGGAGAGGAGGGTGAAACTAGTGTGACCTGTGAACTTTGTGGTACCACTACCATGTATTTCAACCGTCATATGCGCATGCACCATACTGGTTGTGGTCAAGCGTGTGGTCAGATGGGATATCGTGGTAATGGTTGCTATGTTGGTGGCTGGTTTGGTGGCGCTTGTGGTACAGGTAGCCCGTATTATTTAATGTGCCGCGAATGTCGTGAAAGCTACCTTGGACGAAGGTTACCGAAGAAAATAATGTTTGATTTCAACATTTCTCCCGAGGGAACCATTGATGGTTAGTAATTTGTATCAAAAAAGCTGTTTATCAGTATTTTATTTTTTAATACAAAACATTGTAAAAATGGACAGAAAGTCCTTTTTAGTTCCTATGCATGTAATGCAATAGGAACTATTGTAATCACTCTGTATATTTCCTATGTTTTTTATTGTGTGTAGTGTGTGCGTGTGTGTGTAGACATTTATGCAAGTGTGCATGCGTCAAAGAAAAGTTTTCCGACATTTTGTTTTACATCGCGATGCGAAGATTGATGTGAAGTTTCTGCAAAATTCAGTCAGGTCTCACGCTAACCGACCGGAAAGTCGGCATGGATGAAACTATTTTGGTTTTACAGCAAAAAAAATCAACTGCTGTAGGCATAGGTATTTTGAAGAAGGCCTAAAATGTTTTAATACTTGCTGAAATACATCGTTTTTTCATTTAGATCTCCATTTTTCACTAAGTCCATGCGACGTTTTTTTCTGTTGTATACGTATGAGTAGTCATATGAAGGTACTATATCCCCGACAGTTGGCTGTGCAGCAATGTACCCTTTGAATGCAAACTGAAAACAGGTGAAAATATAAAGGCAGCCTACTATCGGGTACATAACGACAAAAACACCACAAAAACATGAGGCCTAAGCTAGGCCTAGTTCAGTATTACTGCGATGCGAGGGTGGTTAGATCGTTCAATCAATATCGTGTTATCGTCTAATACAATTAAATAATGTGTGTAATATTTAAGAATGCACCACGTGGGTCGCTTTCTTTGTTATGCGGTAGTATTGTAGTATACGTAGCAGAGTGACGGCAGAAAGCTAAGCCTAGCCTAGGGCCTAGAT